GCGCCACTTCCAGCTTTTTTCTTTTTGTTTATGTGGTGCTGAGAAATCAAACCCAGGGCTTCATGTATGCAAGGCAAGCGCTCTACCACTGAGCCATCTTCCCAGTCCCTAGTTATTACTTTTAAGTATATACTCTATATCAAGTTAATTTTGTATATGGTATTGCATATAAGCTGAAGTTCTATTTTTTCGCCATACCACTATCTAGTTGTTCTAGCTACAACTGCTATCTTCAATCCATTAAGTTACCATGGCACTAATGTTGAACAATCAATTTACTATGTTTGTATAGATTTATTTCTGGGCTGTCTATTGGGCTTAGTTGTTCTCTATGTCTACCTTATGCCTGCATTGATTATTGTGATTTTATTAGCAGGGTCTTAAAGCACAGCCCAAAGTTCCTGACATTGCACTTTTCTCCTAAAACACTATTATCTCAATGTCAGGCCTTTCAGATGCCCATGCAAACTTGCAATCAGTTTGTCACACTCTACTCAAAATCCTAGTGGTTTTGGTTGGGCTGTATTAAACTGTTGAGAGTCTTAAATCTCTGGAACAGTCATCACAATATTGTGCACCTTAATGACATAGTGTACACACATTTCTTTAAGCATTATTTTTTGCTTTCTAATTTTGTGTTGTATGAATTTTTATTTATTTATTTTTAATTGTGAAAATACCATACAGAGGGGTTACAATTTCTCTCCAGACTGCTTTGGAGTCTTCAATATATAAGTCTTGTACTTACTCTGCTAAATTCATGCCAGTTTTCATGGCTCTTTATATTCAACATGACCTAAAAATTAGATGTTATACATATTATATACTATATAAATCAAATATTTATATAAGTAGTGACATATTATATTTTATTCACTAATCAAATATTTATGTCACTAATTGTGTAAATCTAATACTTATGTAGTGCATATTTATACCATCAATTTTATAAACTAAATCTATATACATAGTAAGATCTTGCTGCATTTTTTCTAATAGTTGTTTTTGTAGAATTTATCTATGTACACACTCACATCACGTGTAAAAGGCAGTTATTTCAAATCTTTACACTTTTTTTTGGGGGGGTGCTGGACTCATAGTTTGAATCAAGGCATGGACACTGTCACTGAGCTCTTTTACTGAAGGCTACTATTTTACCACTTTGAGCCACAGCTCCACTTCCAGTTTTCTGGTGGTTAATTGGAGATAAGAGTTTCACAGACTTTCTAGCTTGGGCTGGCTTTGAAACTAAATCCTAAGATTTCAGCCTTCTGAGTACTATAAATAAGGTATGAACCACTGGCACTTGACATACTTTTTAAAAAATCTTGCAGTATTAGTTATTTCAGTACCAAGAGAACAAGGCTAAGATTAATTACTACTACTGCTACTAGTAAAAATAATAATATAGAACCTTCTGAGATGAGTGACCAGTTGTGATATAGATTTTATAACCATATAGGTTTGTCCAAAATATATACAAATGAAATTTCTCTTAAGGTAACTTTAATTGTATATAAATTATACTTCAGTAAACTATCACAAGGCGAGACAATTTAAGATAATGGAAATCTAACCATACTAGTAATTTTCTCTCAGAGTTCCTTGTACAATTAATCAGTGGTTTACTGTTTCAAAGTAAAGCTGTCTAAACCCAAAGCTCAAGTCAATTCTCTTATTTTAGGTGATAGTCACAAGAAAACAGTAACATGTATAACAAGCATATTTTGCCATTATATCTCTGTTCCTACCTTTATCTTAAAAAACATATCTTAGAAATCATAATAAACATAATGTTATTTGCCTAACAATGTCTAGTGAAAACTTTGATTAATAGAGATTTTAATAGAAAATTCTGCAATGTAAACTTTCGAGTTAACTTAATGTGGTGAAAAGCTAGAAATGTCCTGTAGATGATTGGTATCATGTAGATACACAGCTTCTCACCTGTGTATCTGGACTTGAAGGAGTCAATATAGCAAGCAGCATCATTTTCTGTAACACCCATCTGCTCTCCTAAAGATTTAGCTCCAATTCCATAAATAATTCCATAGCAAATCTGAAAGGGAGTCATCACACTAAGTAAATTACAGGTCAGAACTATATAGAACATGAAGATAAATTCATTAGAATTGAATTTTGGTAAACATTTCATTGTGTAATGAGTCAAAGAAATGATGCTGACCTTTAGCAAACATCTGTTCTGCATTTTAGCAATACTGTTCACAAGAGAGACAGACTGTACACAGAGAGACAAAGAGAGAAATAGCAAGAGGAAGGCATGGAGTATGAATGTGGAGTGCGTATGGAAGGTTTTAAGAAAATAATACCAATGAAGTGCTAGAGGTATGGCTCAAGGGGAAGAGTACCTGTATAACAAGCACAAGCCCAGAGTTCAACTTCCAGTATTTATTTATTTATTTAGCTAGTTAGCTAAAGAAGGGAGGGATGGAGGGAGGGAGGGAGGGAGGGAGGGAGGGAAGAAGGAAGGAAGGAAGGAAGGAAGGAAGGAAGGAAGGATAGGAGAGAAAAGGTATTCCAGTGATTTAAGAGGACAGATTTATTCCTATTTGTATCCACTAATGTATCCATTAGTGACTATTAGAACAGTGCTTTTTATACTTTTTTAGCCTGGGCTATGATATCTTCACTGTGCTTCCCCATGTGGCTGAATATGACAAACATGCATCGCTGTGTCCCCTGGAGCTGGTAAACAGGCAGGCATCGCCTGACCCAGACAAACTTTTTGCTCAGGCTGGCCGTGAGCTGGCCTGGGACTGCTATCCACGTCTTGCCTCCCAAGTAGCTAGGATTACAAGTGTGAGCCACTACACCCAGCTAACCAAAAACTTTTGAGGAAAGTTTGGAAGCAGTGTGAAGAAATGGTCTAGACAGGCTACTAATTGAAACGCTGATTAAATAAGTGCTGCCTGAGTTCAAACCTAGATCCACCATGCACATGATGTATGTGATTTTGCTCTTGTCACCTAATCTCTTAGAAATCCTTTTTCCATGAAACAAATAGCAACACATTATAGAACTGTTAGGGATAAAAGAACTATTACTTATAAGTCTTAGGAAATTGCCTGACATAAATCAAACTCTACATGAATGCTAAAATAAAATATAGACAGGCTTCTCCACAGATAATTATGTAGATTAGATTCAGAATGCCCAAGTCCTAACATTCTAAATATTCTGAATATATCACTTAACGCTGTATGGCTATAAGCAAATTATTACTTTTATATGCCTATTTTCTCCTTTATAAAATAAAGATAAAAATAATAATATTTACAAGAGGTTGCTATGAGAACTCAATATGGAAATATTCTACCTAGTTCTGAGTTCTTGTTACATGCAAGGCCTAAGAGTGAATTAACAAGACAGAAAGGACAGACAATGTAGAAACAGTGGTAGGAAGTAGTGAGAAGTACTTCATGCCAACAAGTCAATGAAGCACTACAGAGTTAGCAGCTTGAAGCACAAATGTAAAATGAATAAAGCAAAAGCTCAGAGTGGGCAAGGAGTACCTCTACATCAGATTTCCCATAAAGCATGTGATTAGAAAGTATTGGTGTTGACCCAGGAAAGGAAATGTGTGTGACCTTTGTCTGTCTCTGTGCATATAGTCCTCTAGGAGGAAGAACTAACACATCTATTTCCAAGGTGTTAGCGTAGCATGAACTTCCACAGGCTTCAAAAGCTAAAATTCATTAAAAGCACCAGTCAATAGTATTTTTTTAGTAAATGTGTAATGAGTACCTTCTATACAATGTGCTTTGGCTCAGTGCTGTAGGAACATATAAAAATGAAAATACAGAACTTTAAGTCAGGATGTTTACTGACTAGAAAAGAGACAAAATACACACAAACATGTATACACACACCCATAAATAATGACCTCTAACACCACAGTGACCTTTATAATTTTAAATAAGCATCTACTGAGTATTGAGCACTGAGACTGGCCATATTATGGAATGCTTTCCTGATACCAAGTAGCCTTGGCTTAGTCCATATGGTTCTTTCTATTGCCTCCACAAAGGAACTATAATGCATATCATGAGACAGACTCGAATACAATTTGAAAGGTCCGAAGTCAGAAATGATTCCTCAACTGCAAACAAATGACATTGTTTTGGAACCACTGATTCTTCTCATTTACATGAAGCATGTCCCTGAGATCACCTGCTTTGCTTGTTGCCTCAGATCATCCCCCACAGACTCAGGCTTAATCATCTTCCATTCTGCTGCAATGCTCCTGAAAACATCAGCTCCTGTGTTTAATACTTGAATGAGACGATGATCCTGAGATAAATGAGCCAAGATCCTCAGTTCAAGTTGAGAGTAATCAGCAGCCAATATTAAGCCACCTGAAGTACAAATGATTTTAGAAAAGCTAGTAAGTACCAAGTTCTACATAATATAATGTAACCTCTGTTGCACAAATGAATGATTCCACATATTTAAAATACCAAGAATAGCCATACAGAGATGGAAAGCAGAATGAATATTGACCAGGGCTGGGTAAAATGAGGAATTAGTGTATGAAGGGTGTTGGGTTTCAGTGGAGAACATGAACATACCCTAGGTATGGAGATGGAGATGGAGCATGAGGAGGGTGGCATTGTAATGCAAATATGCTTAATGAATGTCATAGCACTAGAAATGGGTCAGATAGTAAATTCTATGTTGACTGGTGCTCAGCTTATGTTGATTTTTTAAAACATCACTTGCAAGTTATTTTTTAAAAAAGCTATGAAGATAACAAACTAGATAAGACTAGGAGAAATTTCCAGCAAATATGTTTGATTAAAATTTTTCTTTCAATATTCATTCACTCATTTATCCATTAATTTATGTGGTACTATGGTTTGAACTTAGATTCTCCATCACTAGAGCTAGATCTCAAGATCCTTTTGCTCTTGTAGATATTTTTCAAATAAGATCTTATATTTATATCTGGGCTAAGTTAGACCATGATCTTCCTATTTATGCTTCCTGTGTAGCAGGGATGGTAGGTAAGTATAATCGTACCCACCTCTTATTGGTTGTAATGGGGTCTCATGAACTTTTTGCCAAGAACTGCCTCAAACTGTGGGTTCTTCTGATGTTCTGAGCAGTGAGGCTTATAAGCATGAGCCACTAGTACCAAGCCCCAACTCATTATTTAAAAAAAAAAACTGAAAACAGAGTTAAATGTGTAACAAATAGAAAATTTTAAAACAATTTTCCATAGTATTTGAGTTTGGAACTTTGGTCAGGTTTAAAAACAATCACATGATTTCTTACATTAAAAAAATAGTATTTGCTGGGCATGGGTGGCTTACACATGTAATCCTAGCTACTCAGGATGCTGAGATCTGAGGATCTCAGTTCAAAGCCAGCCAAGGCAAAAAATTCAGCAACACTCTTATCTCCATTCACCATCAAAAAGATGGAAGTGGAGCTGTGGCTCAAGTGGTAGAGTGCTATCTTTGAGCACAAAAGCTTCAGGACAGCACCTAGGCTCAGAGATCAAGCCCCAAGAACTGGCACCAAAAAAAAAAAAAAAGGAAACAAAAAAGAAAAAAGGAAATATTTAGATGCAGAGATAGTTTAAAAGTGTTTGTGTTATATAACTTTGTTTAAATACTACAACAATAGTTGTCCTTATTTCCCTATTCAATAAAATATCACCCTAATATGCATGGTGTTTAATGTGGTTATTCACAAAAAATAGTACAGAACAGCAAAAATTGTTGATAAGTTTAAAGTTGCTTTTAATGTAACAATGAGTTAACATAAATTGCTTAATTTAAACCAACATTTTTAAACAGATGTGTTTTCTTCAAAGTCAGTTATTCTACAAAAGATAAGCCACCTTTTCCAGGCCACCTGGACTACAAATTACTATATACCACAAAGACCATCTAGAAACTTATCCCTTGGATAAGTTCTGACTTCTCTCTGGTGATTGTAGATAACTAAAAAGCCAAATAAAAATTGCTGAGCAGGTTACCTTATGGACCTTGAGTTCTTTAGAATTTTAAGTTTGTGACAGAATTTAAAATAAATTCAGATGTTTATCTCACACTTGACTTGACCCTGGCAAAAGATATAGAGCAAATATTCATACAATAGGGATGATTCAGGAGGTATATCACAATTTCCAAATGTTTGGATGGCGAACAGGTGTTTGCCTAGAGACTGAAGAGAAGTCAGCTCCAATCACAGCCTGGGGGTGTGCCAGGAAGCATCAGTGGACAGAAAAGAGAAGGAAACACAGGAGCAAACCACTCTGTGACCAAAAAAAGTACTCTTTGGCGTTCAAAGGAGAGAAAGTGAGGAAGAAGGGAGTTTACTGTCTGCAACAAACACTGTAAAATAAAAGAAAATGTGGACTAAAAAAATTAACTAAATTTTGCAGAACTTGACAGTGGTCTTTTAAAATGTGGTCTTCGCAAACAGCTGGTGCTGAGAGACAGCACAAGAGTTCACAATGAAGACAATGATGAACTTCTCTAAACCTCATGAAACAAGGAGAAAACAGGCTTCACCACACAGAGGAAAGATGAAGGACCAATGCACTCCCTCTAGTCCCACCCATAATTCAGATTTCTCTAGAGCTTTGGAAAACATTCCCTTAACAATGAGAAGCTCCAAAACCCTCAGTGACCTCACCTGGAAAAGGCACAAAGGCATGCCTCATGCTCACAGAAAACGGCACCTCTCTGGCCAAGGCCTGCTCATCTACTGGTGCCCGGTGCTCAGGGTACAGGCCACAACCCTTCTTACTGTGTCCTCTGTGGTACACACACAAAAAAATCAGCAGCAGCATATGAATCAATTCAGCTATAATTTGTGGAGAGGAAGGGAAAAGGGAAAAAACAAATAGGGATACAGGTGGACCCATTGCAACACTGAGATGTACAAGTCGTTATGTCGAAAAATGAACTTTACAACTTTGCGGGGGGTGAGGGATGGGATGGGAAGGGGAAACAAAGGAGGAGGCAACAATGCTTGATAAGAAATGTACTCATTATCTTGCCCATGTAATTGTAACCCCTCTGTATGGTATTTTCATGATAAAATTTTTTTTTTTAAAAAAAGAAAGTCTGATTTTCAGTGAAGACAGAATTTCCATCTAAGAAACTTAGAAACAATGCAACCTGAAACTCACTGTAATACATAACATGCTAGGCCTCTTCTGATACACATTCAATTAAACATGAGGCCATTTCTGCAATCACCTTTCCCACAGCTGCTTCTGAGAAAATTCTGTCATTTACTCCATAACCCCTCTAGGGAAATCAAATATATAGTATCTGTACTGCTGCCTCCTGTCATGTATACACCACTGACAGTGTTTGGCTTAAAGAAGCAGAGAGCTGGGAGGTTCATCAGTGGCCTAAGCATGCAGCATCTCACCACCAACTAGCTTCTTCCTAGACATTTGGAGATTGAAATGGGGAATTTCATTATCTTATGTACTATGTTATTTTTGAACCATTCACATTCACATGGCACACTTATACAAGAGAAATAATCTACCTGACCATGAGAGGTTGGCCTTTGTCTAGAACTTGGGAAGGTGAGCTTTCATCTAGTAGTGTTGGCATTCTAATCTCAAAATCTCTTGGCACATTCTGGATATTTGGTTCTGTAAAACTTATTCGTCCTAAAATCAAACAGAATACAGAAAAAAAATTAAATTGATATTTAACAGTATTTGTGTCTGAATTATCTTTAAAGATGTGTGTCTTATTAATGCTAAATGTATATTTAAATCAATTTCTTCATCATGTACATATTTTTAATAATGATAAGCCTAAGGCCATCCTATGATAAATGAATATACAAATCAGCTATAATATATTGCTGTACATTAACTTAGAAATCAATCCATGATAAGAAGCAAACTTGTTAAGAGTCTGAGGTATTATAAGTTAGCAGTTGGGGCTGGGAAGGTGGCTCAGTGGTAGAGCGCTTGCCTTGCATGCATGAGGCCCTGGGTTCGATTCCTCAGCACCATCTAAGCAAAAAGAAAAAAGCCGGAAGTGGCGCTGTGGCTCAAGTGGTAGAGTGCTAGCCTTGAGCTGAAGAGCTGAGGGACAGCGCCCAGGCCCAGAGTTCAGACCCCACAACTGGACCCCCAAAAAATAAATAAATAAAAATAATAATAAGTTAGCAGTCAAAGTGTAAGATTACCAGTGACCAATCAAATGGACCTTAAAAGAAATGACTGTTGAATCTGTAAATCTGGGGATACACAGGCAGGAGTTGGAGTGTCTGGAGCAGGGCTGTGAAAGGCTGAAGAGGACAACTCTTCCATGAGAGGAAGCCACTGGATGTCACTTTCAGAGACCACCTGGCTGCGTTTTCCTATCAGCACTGTAATTCCAGAGAATCAGCAATACTAAAGTGACTAACTAGAATCAGGATACATTTTAGAATGCTGGATACATTTTATAGAATAGGATTGTTTTTTAGTACTGAGGTTGAACCTCAGTACTAAAGTGACTAACTAGAATCAGGATACATTTTAGAATGCTGGATACATTTTATAGAATAGGATTGTTTTTTAGTACTGAGGTTGAACCTAGTTTTATGCATGCAAAGCAATTGCTCTACCTACTGGGCAATACTGTACCTGACCTTCCTGTTTTTGTCTTTTTGTTTCTAAGAATCTCCCTAATTTTGTACTGGCTAGTCTGGAATTGGTAATCTTCCTATCTCAGCCTCCTGAGTACCTGGGATGTGTGTCACCACACCTGGATAGAAACTTTTGTGTATATGGGTGTGTTGGTACTGGGGTCAGACCTCAGGGCCCCATGCTCTCACTTTGCTTTTTTACTCAAGGCAAAATCTCTCTACCACTTGAGCCATACCTCCACTTCAAGCTTTCAGTGGTACATTAAAGGTAACAGTTTCCCTTACTTGCCAACTCGATTTGGCTTCGAACTGTAATCAGCCTCCTGACCGGCTAGGATTACAGGTATGAGCTACTGGCACTTGGCTTTATAACCTATTTTAAAAATGTTTATCAGACTTTTATTTTTCCCAAATTATTTATATTTTATTAATTGGCTGGTAAAATTTCTTTGAAAAAGAATATAAGCACTTTTCAAAAAGGGGAGTAATTGGGACCATTTAAGTAACATAAACTAGCATTAAAACTCAGCTTTTTAATCTATAAATGGTTGTACAAGTGGTTACAATCTAACATAACCATTTGTGTACAGTGCGTATGGATCAGTGACTCCTTGCATCATTCTCCCCCTCAACTATCCCCTCCCTACCAGTCATTGTCTCCTACTTCCTTTTGCATATCTGTACATTGAGTATTACGACTGCATCTGTCCCCTGTTCTCTTCCCTTTTGTGTTCATTTACCTTCCTCCTCCTGCCCACCCCCCATTCGATATATATTTCAGCTTCGTGATAGTCATTTTGTTAAATGGTCTGCTAATTGTTCAAATCCCTGTTTCATAATACCCTTTCACTGTGAACAGGCTCTCTTACAGCTGCGATATGAAATTTTGTCTTCTGGTGGTGAATCTGCCATCTTAAATGCCTTAGACATTGTTTTCTAACTTAATTCCTGATTCCATACAGATCTTATTTAATTTTTAGCACACAATAACTGTTTAATAAATGCTAACTTCTCATATAACGATCATTAAGTTGCCCATTCAGTGTTACACTAACAAATAGCAGAGGAAGGCATCCAAGGCTCTTCCTACCTCGCACACTGTCTTCTTCTCCATAACAATACTTAATATTCAGCACACTGCCCTAGTCTATTGGTTGAATTTAGTGAGGTTACACTAGCAGAAAAGAAAAGATGGTTAAAAAATAAATTATAAAACATGAATACAGCTTGACAGAAATCAGTTCTAATCATGAAATTGCTTTGTCATGCTTAAGCTTATATTTCTATAATATTAAGATGTTCTAACAATTATAAAACCTTATTAAAATAGTCTCTAAAATGAATAATGAAAACAGAATGATTATTCTCTGTTTGATAAACAACAAATGTGAAACACCCTTGAAAGCCCTAGTTGTTTGGTTTATCACCAAGTATTATTTTGCACAAATTTATAGCATTAGCAAGTGTTCTAAAATGAAACTTAAATATCAAGAGGGCAAGAGAAGACTGTGAAGAACCAAGAGGTCAGCTAAATAGTAACAAAATAAGAGGTAGCAAGTTGGTTAAACAAGGAATAAAGCAAGCAAAGAATAAGTAGCTACTCATGGTGCTTCCACTGTAACAGCTCAGTAACTGACAGACATTATGCAAGTGAAATAAGTCAGACCCAGAAAGACAAGAACCACATGTTCTCTCTTATATATGGAAGCTAAAGAAAAGTGAGACTGAATGTAGACTGGTGGGAGGCATAGATAAAGAGTCTGGATTTGATCAGTGCGTGGTATATGCATGTATTCAAATATCATACTGAACCCATTAATATGTATAATCAATATGTTAATTTAAAAAATTTTTAATGAATTTTTAAAAAATCCCATACAACTGACACTGGGTACTTTTTAGGAACCATATGCTACTCTAAGCCCTCAGCATACAGAATTCTATTTAGTCCTCAGCATACTTGGTGGAGGCAGGACCTTCTTTTATTCAGGAGTTTCTTAGTATAAAGGTTCACAGCACTAGCTGGATTTTGGATTTCAAAGCCCACATTGTATAGTGCAAATCTAAACTGGTGCTTCTATGAATGAATTATAAATGGTCCTTTCTTCCAGGGCACACTGTGATTGGTGAATACTTAGTTTCATGATGCCTAGAGAAAACAGTACAGTTTTTCTTTACCAGATTACACTCAAATCTATCCTAAGGCCATGAGACACACATCCAAGGACTCTACAGAATTCTTTTCTGCTTGGGTAAAATAAGATGCTTATCATACAGATACACCAAAGGCCTACTGACATTCAATTGGAAGAGGATCTTAGGAGGTTCTGGAAGGGCGTGACACTGAAGTTAGCTAAATTACTGATTTAAATGAATTATTATGCATCGCTCTTGCAAAGAAAACACTGTCTCAGATCTCTGGTTTCTCTTCAAGTACTTGAAAACAGGTAGCAGTAGATTTGTCTTAATATTCAGGTGATATTAAGCTATACTTTGGATATAGTATGAGCTTTCTGCATGCTTCACTGAACTTCACTGAACCCAATGATCGACAATTGAATTTCTTGGCCACTATAAGCAAATATGTGTGTGTGTGTGTGTGTGTATGTATATCTCAAAATCTTTTTCTTTCAAAACCAGACAGTATTCATACTCAGCATTTCTTGTCACCTGTAGCTGTGTGCGACTGTGATACAGGGTAGATTCTTTCCATCCCTAGGAAAGGATTCAGGCGTTTTTCTCTCTGCAAGGGGAAAACTACTTTGGTGATAGCACTGCTGATTCTTCTCCACTCCAATATCAAGCCTGGTAAAGGATGTAATTCCTTTAATTTATTTAAAACATCCTGCCAAAGAAATATAACAATTAAGGTAAGATTGGATTCTTATTCAAATTCTAAATGTCTATTAGGTAAATAATACAGTCTCAACATTTAGTTTGATAACAACTAAGTCCATAACACAAAATCACAATTTAGGTTTTTTAGAAATTATCACAATAATAAAAAATACAATAAGTTTATTAAATGCAAATGATATCAAGTTAGAGCTATCTTTTGAAAAAAGTCATTTTTAATATCAGTTGTACCAAGGATCTGTCCCCTAAAACCTACCAAGAAACCTGCATAATCTTTTCTTTATGCATTTCCTCTCCATTCCTCCAGGGATGGGAAGTCTTCCTGTTGTCTTCCTTCTTGCCCTGATACTTACATGATATCCATATAAAAAATATCAGAAGACATTTATTTTTAAAATGTCAATGTTTCCATGAGAAGAGATATTTGTGAGGTTAAAGGGCCAATGAGACTAATAAAAAGTGTACTACAAAACTGAATACTGGTGGTTCCTGCCTATAATCCCAGAAATTCAGGAGGTTGAAATCCAGAGGATCAAGGTTCACAGCCAAACCAGGCCAAAAAGTCCATGAGACTCTTCTCTCTAATTAATCACCCAAAAAAGCACACAAGTAGAACTGTGTTCAAGTGGTAAAATGACAGCCTTGAGCAAAAAGCTAAGCGATTGTACCCAGGCTCTGTGTTCAAGCTCCAGTACTGGCACACACACAAAAAAAATGTCTGTAAGACTTCATCTCTCATTAACTAGCAACATGGCTCAAGTGGAGGAGGACCAGACCAGTGCCAAAACACAAAACAAAAAGTGTGCTGGAGAACAGTTATGGACACTTCCCAAAGCCAGACAAGTCACAGTATATTGATCAAAATTTCACAGAATAGCAATTAAACTCTCAGTTATGGTAGCTTCATTTTCTATCTTTACTTTTTCATTAAAACTTCACTAACTAAAAGGGTAAAATTAAATCTTTCTTCTCTTTCCTAATGCATACAATTTCCATTCATTAACATTAGCAAATTTCCTTTGAAAAATAACAAAACCTTAAATTTGTGGAAAATTTATTTTTCCCTGAAACTTAAAAAAAAATTCTTCCATACAATTGTGTGTTTATATAACTATACAAATTAATTATATTAGAAGTTCAAGAGTAGTGGAGGAAAATAAATAATATTAGCAGGTCTGAGTGCACCAGCCTCTACATTGTTTTAATGATAAGAAGAGTACACTGTTAACTCAGAGTATGGTTCTGATTTCCCATGCTGGAATGTCTGCGTAGATTTTGTAGACTACCAAACCACCTATTTCTTTGCTTGCAACTAGGTAAGTTTAAGTGGTGGGCTATATTAACTATTTTGTCAGAACACCAAAACACTAAAAGTAGCTCTGATTCTGCCCTGTGACTGCCCCCTGTGATTACCTTACTAGTGCTGAACCGCCTACCCAGCCTTGACTTGCGTCCAGTGTCATTCCCTCTTCTGGTAGAACCCAAAGTTTTCTTGTTGCCTTGAATTTTCATCTCTCCATTTGGTGGCAACTTCAATTCCAAAAATAAAACCTGCAAGAAATTCATGCTGCATTAGCCAGGAATCAAATTAAAAGCACTGTCATGCAGAAATTTCAGAGACGTCAATTGAGAAATTGTCTTCTACAGTTTACTTGGGTTGGAAGACTATCTTTGGACAATTACAAACAATCATTTTTAACAAATGATGGCAATGAAAACTTCTACATCAGCTAAGCTGCCCACACCCTAATCTGGGCCCTATCAGATAATACTAATGCAAAGCTTTTAAACAATAATAAGAACATGTATATCCTGTGCTGAGCAACTGGCAACTAGCAAATGACACCAAGGATTCTGCGTTCTCTCAAATACCTCTTGAAGTGATAACCAAAATGGCTGCTCAGTCATTTAATCTCCTAAAAAGTCAATATGGGAGCCTATGTGGCTGTTGTATGATCACAAAATCAGAAAGGGAAGGTCTGAAAAACTATTTAGTCCCACCACTGTGATCCTGAGTCTTAGCACAAAAAGTATCATTATGGCCACACTGGATTGGCAGTGCTGGAAGCATGGCTCAAGTGCCAGTCGAGCAAACATGAATACCTGAGTTCAAACCCCAGTATCAGAAAAAGGAAAAAAAAAGCAATCTTGAGTAAAAACAACAATGTTAGTTATATAATGAACATCAAATTATACTATAGAGCCATAATAACAAAAATAGATCCAAAGACCAATGAAAAAAGATAGAAGACTCAGGAATAAAATCTCACAGCTATAACTGGAGAAAAAAAGAATCTGTTCAACAAATGATGCTGAGAAAATTGATAGCATAGATAGGGACACCTATCTCTCACCCTGCACAAAAATCAACTCCAAATGGATCAAAGAACTCAGAGTAAGAGCATATCTATCACAGGAAAATACTGAAAGTTATAGGCACAGGTAATTTTCTGAACAGGAGTCTAATTGCCTGAAATTAAGAATAAGAATTAACAGATAGGACTAGATCAAATCAAAAAGTTCCTGCCCTGCCATTGTACAACCTTTATTGTCACGGTATTTTGATTCTGGTGCCCTGCATCTTGTATATACATTTTTCTAATTTGGAGGAAGGGAAATAACAAAATGCTGAAATAAGAATTCAGGATGACCCCTTATAATAATGAGATGTACAAGACAGTATGTTGAAAACAAACTTTACAACTTTGCCAGGGGCCGGGAGGAGTTGAGGAGGTGGGGAGGAAAGAGATGGTAAGAAAAAAAAATAAAGGATGGTGTAACAATGCTCAATAGGAAAGAAATGAACTCATTACCTTGCTCATGTAACTATAACCCCTCGTACAGTCTTTACAACAAAAAATACATATTAAGAAAAACAAGTTTCTGCCTAGCAAAAGAAACAATTACCTTCGGGTAAGAGACAAACCTATAGCTATTTGCCAGATTAATATCTAGAATATATAGAGGGTTCAAAAAATTAAACAGCCAAACATCAAATAATTCTATTAATATATGGGCAAGTAAATTGAATAGGTAGTTTTCAGAAGAAAAAATATAAATGGATATCTGATCTAGGCAAATCTCCTCCTGGAACCTACATTCAAAAAGTCTTCCTTACTACCTCTCTATCACATATAAACATAATTTATTAATCTGCAGCTAGAAGACTGTTCCTAATACATTCTAACCAATTGTTTTGCTTTACTGATATTTGGTACTAAATAAATTAAGGAGCAGAGGGAAAGATATATTTGTGCCTTGCCCTTCTTTCTCTATTCACATTATTTTAATGCTAAATGTCACTTTCTAATATCCCTACTCCCATAGTACCACCTCTGCAATGTCATCTGAACTGGTGAAGGAAAAGCTGTGGCCAGCTAATTGATAGGCCTGAGTCTCAATTGCATCCAGCTTGGCTTGCAAGATGTGCTTCTGACTTTCACATTCTGTAGTACTAAAGCCGATTCCATTTAGTTCTAGCAAGGCCAAGCAGTATTGAGAGGGCATTTCCACATTACAGAAAACATCTGAAAGAAAAAACAATAACACAGAATTGGTCCAGGTCAATCCAGAGATGCTACCCAAGCTGTCCTTCAAGATCCAGTTTTACTGAGTAGGTTCTGAACCAACAATAAAAGGCAGCAAAGGACAGGTCATTTAAGCACTAGAACTTACACAGTGTAGAAGGGCTAGCAATCTTGTGAATAGTGTAGACTAGAAGAGAGAAGTATGCTTCCAAGACTCAAGATTTTTATCTCATATTTGTTAAAAACCATCTAGAAAAGACCTACTTGATCACATGAAGGGAATAAGGATATTTTGTCCTAAATCACATTAAGATATGGCCTCTTATTAATATTTATTCCCACCCAAACAAAAATCAGCTATCTTCCAGAAAACAGAAGGATGAAAAGAGAAAAAGATCTGGAAGGCATTAAACTAAATAAGCATATCCTAAAATATTTTTTCCAAACATATTTAATAGCACTATATATTTTCTCCAAAAACATTTTCTCAATGCACCTGTTATATTCTATAGATTATATGATTAAGAAACCTAATACTACAAAAGTGCATTTGACACCTCCTAATTGCTCATTTTTTTAAGTTTTCAGAAAAGAAGACACTTCCAAAGCACTTTAAAAATTGTGAAAATAAAAAATAATGAATCGATATTTCTTGTACAGTTTCTGGAGTAGAAAATTATAATCCTCTTTTAAAAAGATACTTAAAAACTATGTTAAGTCTGGAATAGTCCTTTCTCAGACTGAACACACAATTACTTTCATTTTTTCCAGTGCTGGTGATTAAACCCAGGGCCTCACACATGTTAGGCAAGTGTTCTACCACTGAACTAAACCTCCAGGATTTAGATTTTTTTTTTTTTTGGTCAGTCATGGACTTGAACTCTGGGCCTGGGTGCTGTCCCTCAGCTCTTCACCTCAAGGCTAGTGCTCTAACACTTGAGCCACAGTGCTACTTCTGGTTTGCTGGTGGTTTACTGAAGATAAAGAGTCTCAGGGACGGTCCTGCAGGGCTGGCTTTGAACCATGATCCTCAGATCTCAACCTCCTGAGTTGCTAAGATTACAAGCGTGAGCCACCAGTGCCCAGCCAGGATTTGGGTTTTGAGAGAGGGCTTTACTATGTAGCTCAGGCTGCCCTCAAACTAATGATTCTCCTACCTGTGCCTCCCAAGTACTTAAGAGGACCATTACACCCATCTCATCATTCTAGAAATCTGTGATTACCAGAACATCTCTAAAAAATTATAGACCAGCTCCTATCAGCCTCTTTAGAAGTCAGTGTCTGGGAACTACACAGACTTCCCAAGACATGAACCTTATAGGCAGACTACACAGACTCAGAGGACAGGACGTGGGCGATGATCCAGCATTGTGTAACATATATGTGAAAGCAGTTCTGAAGCCTGGGGCCAATTCTCACTCCTTGATCTGCCTATACAGGCTCAGAGAGATTGAGAGTGAAATACTATAGTTACTGAACAGGAGATGCTAATGAACATCACTTGAGAAAGAATGCCTTCTATGAACAAGTCAGTCTGGTCTTTACTCTGCTATACTACCCCATGATACTGGAAAGAACAGAGAGCCTGTGGTAAAGGTAAAAATAATCATAATAATAAACTAATACAGCAATAAGCAGGTTGTAGTTCTCATTTAATCTTTAAAACAGCTTAGAAGAACCAGATGTAGAGAATGTCAATAGTTTGCCATAGGCCTGTTAGTAAGTGAAATAGCCCCAATCCAAACAATGCTCTGTGTAAACAACTCATTGGTCTGCTGTTTTTTGTATCTATTTATCAGACACAATCCTGTCAACTTTGTTCCCTACACCATCTTTCCCATAACATTAATTATACTTTTAAAAATCAAAGTATTTTGGACTTCCCAACAAATTGATATCGAGATAAAAGAAAATACATAAATCTTCTTTGCTGAAGAAACTGTTAAAAGCTCTGAAAAGAACTCAGTTCATGTTTTTAAACCTATGAAATATATCTTGTAAGCATTAATGAAAATCATTTGATAAAGATCAAATATAATTGACAACCACTGAATAAAATGTCATTATTCCAGTTAAGCTAGAGGTTAGCAAACTATAGCCAAACTATCACTGGATCCATGTTTTCATTAAAATAATTATTGGCTTGTAACCCCTCTGTATGGTATTTTCACAATAAAAAAATTATTATTGGAAGACAGCCACAACTATTGTTTTGAGATGGTCTATAGCAGCTCTCATGACACAATAGCAGTTGAGTATTTGTGCTAGGGATTTATCTGGCCTATAAGCCAAATGCTTTATAGAAAAAAGTTTGTTGGCCCTGAGGTAATCCAGGGGTTAAGGTTTACATAAAATGTATAATTTGTCCACATGTGAATGGCCTCAAACTGTATGTATGTATGTATGTATGTATGTATGTATATATGTAATACATGTTTATCTCCAGTCTGTAACATAAAGATGACAGGAATCTGGTTTTACCATGAAGGTTTTCTTTCTGCAACAAAGAGTTGAGTTGATTCATGGAGTTAAAGATGAGGATAGATTCTACAGATGCTCTGTACCGTCCAGAATGCTCAGTGCTGACATTCAGCCCCAGGCTTTGAATTCCTTGGCCTGCCTCCATTCCTTCTAGGAGTGGGAGATCATGGGGAATAAAGTTGGTAACCACACTATGAAGAGTTGGCTCTTTAGAATCTGGGTCAAGTAACCAGGATGCCACCTGAATGGGAAAGCAACCAGAATATTTTATTTTAATAAAGACATTTCTGTACACTTGTTAAAAGTGGAAAAATCTCATTCATCTTTATTTAACATTTATTCACTGGTCTTAAATTAATTTGGGCTAAGTTATTATAGCCTTGATAGCTTTAGGTTTACTTAGTTCTTCCAATAAAATGTAAAGCATAAATGTTTTGTCATTTCTTTTTCAGAAACCCTTCAGGATAGGAGTTGGCCATCAGAATCACCTAACTGTTTTTGGCTTCCCACAAGACTGAAAAAACTATATTTTCTAATAACTGATCTAGCAGCTCATAGATTAGATTTAGCATAAGAAAATCAAAACTCTATTAATACATTGGAAAGTTAATACAGTAAGCCTGCCTTATGTGCATATTAGGCACATTTTTAACCAACCTTGAAAAACAAGTTTAAAATTCCTCCACACACATTACAGCTTTCAGTCAGTCCATATTACTGTCAAATCATTGTGTGATCTGCTGAGAGTTTCCCTGTCTTTAATTTTGTGAAAATATGACTCCAAAAAAGCAAATAACATTCAAAAAGCAAGGTAAAAGTTACAGTAATCCTAGCAAGCCAAAAGGACCTGTAAGGTGCTTAAGTAACAAAGTGAAATTTTTAGATATGTCTAAATCCAACATGACTGCAATAGAAGTTGTACAACATTATGGGCGGGGGGGATGAATCAAGCATCTGTAGGTATTCAAGATAAAGAGCATGAAATAAAATCCAGTTTCTTGTGAGCAGTATTAATATGTAAAACAATAATTTTTCTAATGTAGCTTACTGTGTAGTTTAACATTATGGAATCTCAGAGCCACATATTATGGCATCCATATGATACAGGTTTAGAGTATAAAACTCTACGCATACTAAGCATTTGTGGTTTTTCCTCAGTGATGGTCTTGGAACCAGATGCCAACAAAATAACCAGTGTTTACTGTATATGATTCATTTGCTTTTTGAGGGTATAAATGAAGTTGGACCAAAAGTATTCAATGAGAGTCTGAGGAAAAGTTATATCATATTTAATATTAAAATGATACTTTATTTTATGTATCTTCTTACTCAAAAATGTGATTATTGTCAGCCATGATGGAGTTTACGTGTAACCACAACACAGGGGGATATTGTGAATTTGAAACCAGCCTGGGCTACATAACAAGACTTTCTAAAACCAAAAACAATTTAAAAAAAAGGAATGCATAAATAAATAAATAAATAAATAAAAAGTGTTTTGATTCATAAAAGCAGAGACTATTTCTAGTAGTTTAAGAAGGTACTATACATATCTAGAATGAGAGAGGTTCATAATACTATTGTTTGGAACTATAGAATATCAAAATTGATATTCTATATTGATATTGACAGGACAGTTTAAAATCCTTGCCCCCGCAAAAATGAAAGCCAAAAGGAATTATGAAACTTGGCTGGTGATGTAGCTCAGTAGGAAAGTACTTGCTTAGCATACACAAGACTCTGAGATCCACATATTTCTTATCAAAAGAAACTAAGAAACTAAAGCATCCTATTATTATTGACCATATATTAGTAAAAACTATATCAATACTAAAATTTCTAAACTCTAATAACTTTCATGTCTCAACATGAAAGTTGAGATGGGGTGGGGGAGGGGGGAGATATATCTTTGAAGATTATAAATAAATGTCTTTTCCTGCCAAAGGCATGGCTCAAGTGGTTGAGCACCAGAACAAGCAAAGTACGCAAGCAAGTCCCTAAGTTCAGACTCCAGTATCAGCAGAAAAAAAAAGGCATGTCTTCTGAAAATGCTTTATGCTAAAAAATGCATATGACAATAAAATAACATTCCTTCCTTGATAACTCAAAGTCATTATTATGAAGAATGCACTTTTTTGGGGGGTGTCCATTCGTGCGGCCTGAACTCTGGGCCTGGGTGCTGTCCCTCAGCTCTTCAGCTCAAGGCTAGCACTCTACCCCACTTGAGCCACAGCGTCACGTCTGGCTTTTTCTTTTTGCTTATGTGGTGTTGAAGAATCGAACCCAGGGCCTCATGCATGCAAGGCAAGCGCTCTACCACTGAGCCACCTTCCCAGTCCCCAGAATGCACATCTTTTAATTGCATAGAATAGTTCTCAAGGACTAGTTATGTGGTTTGCTTAGACATCTTAATTCATAAACTTTCCTATTTTTTGCAATCATCCTCATAATCATGTGAAAAATCCTAACAAAATTTTAATTTCATTTTCAATTTACTATGGGACAAACAACTTGAAACTTAAGATCAAATTTGAAATTTTTCTTACTTTTAAATTTCTTACCACTTGGCTCAAATGGTAAAATGCAACCTGCTTAGTGAGCACAATACCCTGATTGCTAGGCCATCAGTTAAAACCACAGTAACAAAAAAAGTACAAAAAAAAATTTTTTTAATCTCTGTAGTAAAACTTTAAGGGCCTAGAATTTGCAACATCTATTTTCATTTACATAGAAGTGTTTAGTACATGAAGATGTTATTCTTAGTTGGTGAGATTACTGGACAGAAAAGTGACTTTTCTGAAAGATTTCAAGTTGCATTACTAAAATTAAATAAAAACCAAATCATTTAAGAATTATATAAAATATATAAATTATATGAAATTGAATATGACATAGAACCTTAGGATCTTCATAACTTTGTTCCAGGGAGATGCCACAAGACAGAAGAAGAATTTTATAGCTCTTGATGAAGTCATAGATGATTACAGAACGTTCTTTATTACTTTGCTTTTGCAAACAGGATTGAAGATGCTGCATCCTGTCTCTCACAGTCAAGCTTGGATCGAGAGAAGGTGGAGCCAAACTAGCACTAATTTCTTGGAGGAAAGAAAAAAATGAAAAAATTACATACATTCATTTAAAGCAGTAATCTTTATTGAAAAGGTTCAAAAATACTCAGGAAACCAAAGCATCAGTTCTAAATGACTGCTAATTCAGCATGCCTTTATCCAAGTCTTATCAACTATGTAGATGAAGTAATTTATAATCTAAAAATTATGGATGGGCTAGAAGATTTTAAATGCTTTATTTTATGTGGAAGAAAATTCTACATATCAAGACTAAATATCAATAAAATTACAATTTTCAGAAGAATTTAGGTCTAAGAGATTTTTAAATGAAGTTTAAAAAAGATAGCCATATAATGCTGTATCCAAAATAAAAGAAGTTCAAGAAACTACTAAACCCAAAATATTTCCCTAGAAAAAACAAAAGTATTTCATTCTGGCTGAGGAACAGACACTATTTTCTCCTGTCCAAAACCAACCAAGAGCTGAGTGTGTCCAATAACTACCATTCATTTCCAACTTATATCATTTCAACTCTAAAGGTTCTTCCAGAAACTGTGTAAGGCAGAAACTATGGCTCTGTAGCTAAACAGATGAGTTCCAAAGAAAGAATGAGAAGAAATTTCATGGCCCATCATTAACAACAATCTTATGCAGCAGGCAGTAAAGACTAAGGGAGATGTTTTCAAAACATTCATCATTCATTCTGAGGGTATAGGTAGAAAGAAACTTGGCTAGCAAAAGAAATATTCATCCTAGTTAACATATGTGTGTGTGTGTGTGTGTGTGTGTGTGTGTGTATGTATATTAGCTATTCTCTAATTAACACATAACTTTTTAATTCTAAAATAATGCTTAGTAAATTACTCTTGACAAGCAAGATCGCTTTCTATTATGTTTCATTAATTATACACTGACTTAGTCAAATGCTGATTACTTACCAGAATGTGTTTGTTCCCTTTGCAATGAAAAATAGTAAGCATCCCTTCCACCCCAGCACACTGCCAGTCCAACCACAAAGATGTCCTCCGAGCCTTGAACAAGAAATCCATCATCTATAGTAGGGATTTCGTGAGGTAAACTGACTAACAGAAGTAAAAGTGAAATAGAAAATAAAAGATATAAGATAATGGTTAAAACAATGGACACAGAAAAGCTTAGGTCCCATTATCACTGTGTCAGTGAATGATCTACTAAGTGTTTCCCTGCCCTTAATTATATAAAAATATGCTTCCCCCTAAACAAAGTAAGGTAAAAATTAATGTGCTTAATTTAAGTGATAAAGGTGAAATTGTTGGGCTGGGAAGGTAGCTCAGTGGTAGTGCTTGCCTTGCGTGCATGAGGCCCTGGGTTTGATTCCTCAGTACCACATAAGCAAAAAAAGCCAGAAGTGGCACTATGGTTCAAGAGGTAGAGTGCTAGCCTTGAGCTGAAGAGCTGAGGGACGGTGCCCAGGCCCAGAGTTCAGGCCCCACGACTGGCAAAACAAACAAACAAACAAACAAACAAAAAACGGCTAAATTGTTGACAGTATATCTTTAACCGAAGCTGGGTTGCATTACAGGAAAAATAAATGAAGCACATATAGTACAGTACTAAACTCTATGCACCCTGAGCATTTATTTTTCTTCAACAGGGGCTTCCTTGGAATTATATACCTGTGGACACCAATGGTATACTGTACATAAAAGTAATAATTAAATATATGTTCCATGAAATGAAGATCAAATGCTCAAATTTTATTAACAAATCCATAATGAGATTTAAGAAATCTAATCAATAGGTTGCCAAGCTGACTACAGCTATTTCTCACGATCCAGAACAGAGTTCATACAACGAAAGAAATAATCATGGCATTATTTGATCAAATGGTTCAATTATGAAAATGTGGATAACTCCCTGAAGCTTGGGGGAAAAAAGTCTTTAATATAGACTTTCATATAGACTATTAGTGAAGTCTAATACTTGAGATAAATCTTGAAAATTGTAGGTAATAAACAATGTGAAAACTAGAGCGCATGTGTGCTGTGCACTTTTATGATTGTATAAGTAAAAAAGGCATTATAATAGGAAACAATGATCACTAATGATAAGAAATATGCCACAATAAGAAATCATCAAAGAATATCTGCTCATATCCAAAATATATAGCATCTAATTTTTTTTCAAAATTTGTATCTACTAATATATTTTTCATACACCTCCTAGAATGGAACTTAACTATTAGCAACCAGCTGGACCAAATAAATAAAGCTGCTCTATATATAAATCAGATGGAAGATATTCATTAAAAGATATACTTATTAAATGTTGAGATTATATCTAATATTCAATGCTGAAAAATCTAAATGTATCTCAGTCCATAAACTAAAGATAAATATAAAAATATAAACAATTTAAAGGAGAATCTTACCTTGCCTAAACCTACTACCAATAGTAGCAGTTTTTGAAGATGTCAAGCTTTTGATCTTTTCACAAGCAAGTGAAATGGAAAATCGTTTCTTACACTGCCACTCTTTAATGAAGGTTTGAAAGAGAGTTTGATTACTTGCTACATCAATTATGGCCAAAGTTTCTGAATTGCATGAGGCTGGAGTTAACTGCAATTCATCCAGTGACAACTGCAGTGAAAAACTTTTGTCTCTCAAAGGACTGTCATCTTGTAAACTGTTTATACTCTCTAGACTTAAATCGTGGTTTTTAATATCTGAAGGTGAGCCAAATATAAAACTTTCACCAGGCTGTAAAACACTACTAGTGTTCTGAAGTTTTACAGATGTTCCAAGAATCTCTGGAAATGTCACCTTAGAAGCAGATGCTGGGCTGGGTGTAGGAGGAATGAGACCATTATCATCACCTAGAGAGCTTTCTTTACAAGCCAAGGGGGATGAGGTTTCACTGTGACTGGCAGAGTTCTCTAGTGACTTGTCCACCTTTCTTTTTACCTCATTATTAGGGAAAAATGAAATTCCCTGTACTTGGTATGTCTCCAAATTTGAAACCACTTCTTGTCTCTCATTTAACTCTGTGTTTTTCTCTTTCAAACAAAGTAAGTTTACAGTTGTTAATTTTGGCTTTTCATTTTCTACAGGACTATATACTTTATCTAAAATCCTCTGCAGTCCTGGACTTAAATCAAATGATGCTCCTGACCATATGAATGAATTATTTTGCCTTGCCTCCGTTAATCTGGACGTTTGAGCTGTTTCATCTTGATTTCTTCTAATTACTTCACCTTGGGGGAGACTAATACCTAAAATTGCTGAGTCACTTAGTTCTAATGCTCTAAGAGATATTGAGGTATTAAGATTCTCTTGGACTGATTTTGCTACATTGTCTAAAGCTTCAACTATCTGAACAGAATCCATTTCTGAAAATATAATAGACTCATCATTGAAAGAAGTCAACTGCTGTTGAGCAATTAGGGGCTCAGTCATATTTGTTTTTTGAACTGGGTCTCCTTGTAGATGCTGAGAGTCACTGAAATGGTTTGATATTATTTCAGAAGGGTGGGGTCCTTTGGCTTCTATATCAGGTGGTGGTTCTTCTGCTAGTAAGTCTTCACTGAAACTGTCAAATAATAAACTATCACTCATATTCAAACTTGTTTCTGGGCCTGGCAGACATTCTGTCTCTCCACCAGTGGGGGATCTCTTTTGAGGAGCCGTAAGTTTGACTGGTTTCACTGTTTCTTGTGTTTGATAACCTTGAAGAAAACTGTTTAGCTGGGAGTCAGTAACAGAATATTCATTCCCTTTAAAACAAAGGCCATTTTCTTCTAAAAGAACTGGAGAACGTAAAGTAAAGCTTTTTAGAATCAGTCTGTCATTCCCATATTCAGTATCAATAGTCTTAAGATCCAAATGGTCCATGTTAGTCGTTCTTGGAAAATGCTGATCACTGGAAGAAGTAACATGACACTCATTCTGAAAAGAGTTCTGTCTGTCTAAGCTCCTCTGCACAATCCCAACTGCCAAGCTGGTGTCCTTTATTCCTTGTTTGGCATTTTCAATTACCATCTGTTGCATTATTTTCTCTGACTGAGTATCCAGGTAGAAACTATCTTCAACATCACAGAGAACTAAACTTAAGTCAGAAGCAGGATTATTTATAGTTTTGTTTGTTGAATAAGTATCTTTTTTTTCTTGTATTTTAGTAGAATTTAGAAAATTCTCATGCTGATCTTCTGTTTTACCAAACGGTTCAGTTGACTGAAGTATTCTACTGGGTACCTCAGTTTTCCTTATCTTATCTCCTAATGCCTGAAAATGGTTTTGTTCACTTTCCTCATTATTAGGTTTTATACTTTCACGTTTCATAGTAGCAGCATTTGATTCTTTTTGGATATTACTATTCAGTACTTGACAGAGCATTTGTGTCTCTATTACACTTTTCTGCTTGATACAAGTGTTTGTCTGTTTATCACATTGTTTTTCCAGACTCTGGCCAACTGGAGGTGTGTCATGGCTTTTTACAAAAATATTCTGTTTTTTCAAATCATCCTGTATCAGTACATCATTTATTTTTTCTGTCTCACCTACAGCTAATCCTCTTCCACCATTACTGGCTACACCAGAGGCTTGACAAGTCACATTTTTACTTTGTGACCTTGTGTCAAAATGTTCCACAAGAATAGCATTCATTTTTGTTCTTTCCCTTAAACAACTCTGCTTTTCTTGTAACAGAAATGCTTTGCTATGTTTTTCCTCAGTACAAAAAGATGCATTCTTGGCAAAAGGTTCTGAACTTCTACATTCCATATTCTTCTGATCTAAAGTAAGCGGATCTTCACGAAGAAGAGGCCTAGATACAGTCTGTCCTTGCAAATCAATTCTACATATCCCAGCATCTTTCACAGGGCTACTGTCCTTGGATTCTTTTCGATGCCTCCTAAGTTTCCGAGATTGAAAACTTGTGTTCAGCTCTTCTGAACTAAAATTCAAAGCTGCTTTTTTATTTTTTCCCAAGGAGAAAGTCTGAACAACTTTCCTAGTGCATGCTTTCCCTTCATTCAGAGAGGCTGTGGGCTTCTCTTTTTTTATGCCCAAAGAAGCCTGTTTTCTTGCTCTGAAAATGGAATTTCTCTGATGCTTCTGTTTCCCTTTCTGGAATGTATAATGAAAGGTATGTTCTCTACTTTTATCTAAATCTTGCACTGTATTTGATGAATATATAACATGAGAATCACTAAATCTTGTATTACTTTTCTTCTTAGATTTTTCTCTTTGATGAGAACTCACAGTTTGAGGAACAAACATGTGAGTCTTTACTTCTGAATCACTGTTGATCAATGAATGTGTACTAGTACTCAAAGGAGAATATGGATCCCATTGTACTCCCAGTTCAACTAAGTCCTGCTGCAGAATCATTTTGGCTTCCTCTACTATCAGGACTGCTGCTTCATTTGCAGTTAAACCTTTTCTACCAGTCACCCAAATCGTTTGCATATTCCGACGTTCTTCAGCTGCTTCCTCTTCCTCATCCACTGCCTTTCGGGCACTATACGAGGAGACAGGATAAGAGGGAAATTAATGCACTGACTCATTCATTCATACAACACATATTCATTAATCATTCAATCTCAGCTACTCCAGGAACTGAAGAACTAACACTGTATGTATGTACATATATGCATGCACTGTATACATATATTTATATATATATATACACATGTTCACATACATGGGGAGCGTGTGTGTGTGTGTGTGTGTGTGTGTATGCTCTCATGAAGTTTATGTTCTACCTGGGGAAATAGGAAAATAAATAAATGTTTACATAAATAAATGTATTTTATCTCAACTGGTAAAAGTAAAACTGAAAGCAGTCCTAAAGCTCCAGCCCCTACTCTTTGGGGATGAGGGGCAAAGACACCACCAAAGGAAATTCAGATGGTCCTGGCAACAGATTGGCAATTATAGATGCAAAATAATTCCACAGCTCCTGCAAGCTTCAAACCTAATATAGATTTGGTAAGATAGTAGCTTTCTAGTTCCAATATAGTCGAAATCTAGCTTTGCTAAAGAAAGATATTGTTTTACCCACCTCCCATAGCAAGGGACCATCTTGAGAGAGTATTTATTACTGGAGATGAGTTAGTCTGGAGGATTGAAAGTAGGACATAATCACAGCTCCGGGAGTTTGAGGATACTTTATCAAGTACCTGAATAGAAGAGAGCCTCTAAAGGTGTTGGTGGAGGGAAAAAGGATCTGACAAGGAACTGACAAGGGAGAGGAACTTCAGAAGTAAAGGGTGAAGTAGTCAGAGTGCTGGCCCTCCAGAAGTTGCCAGTCACACTGCCTGGGAATCACAGTACAGAACATCAAGCTGGTGGTTGGCTTAGTACTAGGACTCCAGAATCTGCCTCTTGGCTATATGCATTGGCTGCCAGGTGGATCTGAGAACCCCTAAACCAGACTTTCCAAATCCCACCTCTAAGAAGTGTATTCTGGCATATGTTTGTTGTCCAGTGGGGCTAAACAAACCAAACTCAGGCTCAGAATACCACATGACTTCTACAACCTCCTTCCAGATGCCCCTGGGCTAGTCAAGTTCTTGGATGACCAGAACCCTGATCAACACTGTTTGTAACATCATGAAAAACCTTGAGCCAGAAACAGTCAAGCATGACTAAAAAACTGAGCCACAAAACTGAAGGGAGGTGAACTGCTGTCAAAGAACTAAAACCCACATCCACAAACTGCATCCTAGTTGCTGACAGGCGAGACTATGAGCCTCCAAACTAGGCCTTCCAAATGCCATGATTTCTATAGTAGAGGTGAACGACTGAGCAGAATCTGAAAACACTGAAGCACACTTCCAAGTACTATATCCAACTGTGTGTTTGCTGTCAAGTGGTGTAGAATTCTTTTTTTCTATTTCTCCCTACTTTATTCTTTTATACTGAAATAAACCCTTGTTAAAACTTGAAAAAAAAAAACAAATCAGAATCCAAGTGCTGGTGGATCACACCTATAATCCTAGTTCCTCAGGAAGCTGAAATCTGAGGATCAGCTCAAAGCCAGCTGGGGTAGAAAAGTCCAATTAACCACCAAAAATCCTAGAGGTATAGTTCAAGTAGGACAGCACCAGTCTTGAGTGAAAAAGCCAAGTGAGAATGTAAGACCCTGACTTTAAGCCCCAATATAGCACGCATTAAAAAAGAGGTTTTTTCAATAATACCTATGAAGATAATTGCTAGTATTTACTCCTTTATGTGGGTTCTGTATCTCCTGATACAGGGTAATACATGTGGTGGCATCATCTAGTAACCCCTATTCATTAAAGACAATAGTTCTGGGTGGCCAAGATGGGTGCTGTCTACCATTCTAGTAAATTCATGATATTGTTAAACTATAAAAGAAAATGATTAAATTATAACAGACACTTTCAGATATTGATAAAATATACACACACACACACACACACACACACACACACACACACACACACACACACACACGGAGTCAGTATCTTCTGGCATAAGATTTCCATTAAGATCCTAAACAAAGTAAAAATCCCCACTATATTACTATTTGACACTGTGTTAAAGGTATCCACTGGTTAAACTAGGCAAGAAAAATCAAATAGACATATGAGAATTCGGTAAGGAAGAACAAAATTATTATCTCTTGTTAAAGATGATATGGTGATATATTCCTGAAAAATCCTAGCAAGTCAATCATAAAAGTAACTCAAACAATTAAAAAAAAATCAGTAATTAGAAGGACAGAAAAAACAAAATCACAGAAATCAACAGCCTCCAAACACACATGTAATCATGTAATGGACACTACAAGATAACCCAATTAATCCTTACCAACCAGTAAAGATTAAATGGGAATGAATTTATGCAAAATTGATATCAGAAAAACTCTTAAAACCTCCTGAAAAACACAAAAGCAAAATCAAATGCACAACTTTTGGATAAGTTGATTCAACATTATAGATATGTCAGTTCTCCTTAAGTTTTAAAGCATCCCAATAGTAATTATCACATGCTATAAATTTCAAATAAGCAAACACATAAGAATTGCAAAAAAAAACAAAAAACTGAAAGTTTGTAAGAGAGAACTTGCCTTACCCAATATTGAAACATGCTTATAAAAGGCTTTTACAATTAAGAGCATGGTACTGGTTCATGAATTGGCAAAAGAACAGTTTACCATAGACTAGATACAGATCTAAGGAGTTATTTTTGATCCTCAGTACTGCAAACAAAGGGGAAGAAGAAACAAGAAAGGGGAGGAGGGAGAAGAGGGGGGAAAGGAAGAAAAGGAGGAAGAAAAAAAAATATAAAAACTTTACCTATCAAAAACATGATGAAAATCAAGATTGGTGGCTTGAATCAAAATGTGGTATATATACACAATGGAATTCTATGCCTCCATCAGAAAGAATGACATTGCCCCATTTGTTAGGAAATGGAAAGTTTTGGAAAAAATTATATTAAGTGAAGTAAGCCAAGCCCAAAGAAACATAGGTCCCATGGTTTCCCTTATTTGCAATAACTAGTATATGTCTGAGTCAAGCAGAAAAGGTCAGTTAAGTTGATGTTAGGGAAATGAACCCTAAGATATGTATTCAAATGTTTTTTTTTCTTTCATGTGATTGTTTCTAACACATTTATAAGATTATTTCTTTGTTGCTTTGTATGTCCCTCCTCCACAGTATAACCCCTGCTTTCACTGTATTTGATGTTGTTATAATTTGCGGAGGGGAAGGGAAAAAACAAATTGTTTAAATAGGGATACAGGGGGGCCCATTGCAACAATGAGACGTACAAGTCGTTATGTCGAAAACGAACTTTACAACTTTGGTGGGGGGGGGGGCTGGGGGGGTTGGGGGGAGGTTGGGATGGGAAGGGGAAACAAATGAGGAGGCTACAATGCTTGATAAGAATCTTGCTGCATGTAATTGTAACCCCTCTGTACAGTATTTTCACAATAAAAAATAAATTAATTTTAAAAAAAAAGAAAAAGAAAAAGAGAAAGCACCTGCCTAGCAAGTATGAAGCCCTATATTCAAAACCAGTACAAGAATAAAGCAAAACCAACAAAAATAAAAAACAATTGAAAATATTTGGTATATGTTTCAAATATATATAAATCAAAACATATATGTATCAAAATATGTGTATCAAAATATATGTATCAAAAAATAAAAATCCTAATCAATTTGAAAAAAAATTTCAAGAGGAAATTGAAGCATAAGAAAAAGATCTGCCAAGATAACTCACAAAGATAAAACTCACAAAGATAAAAAAATATCTAAGGATATTCACCTATCACTTTTAATTAAAGAAATGCAAATGAAAACTATGCTGACATATAATTTATCATCTATCAGACTGGTGGAAATAAAAAATTCCTAACAATGGACTGACTGGTGAGATTTTAAGGTAATCTACCAACCAGGAATAAGAGAGTAGAGGAGTAAGAGGAAGTATTAAGAGGGAAACAAAACTTGGTTGGACTCTTCTGCAGAGTAATATGGTCTATGTCATAAAGCTACTCGTGTACTTTTGAAATTCCATGACTAGAAATCTATCCTATCAAAAAATTTCTAGAAATATAAAAATATAGATTCACAGGGTATTCACTGCAACTAGTAAGAATGGCAAAATATTTACAATATTTGTAAAATATAAAGTGAAAAGTAATTCTTTTGGAGGATTACACTCATGCCATGAGAGTATTTAAGAAGAAAATACTTTAATACACTCTGTAGTACTTAAAAATTGATACAGTTTGTCATTTGAGACTCTCTTACCTTTTGAAAGGCACAGCATTTTTCAGAACTACCTCCACCTCAGCAATATTTGCTCTAGCAAGATCTGCCACAGTAAGAAAGCCAGAAGAATAGAGGAACCTGGCTCGCTGTGCATTGAGTAAGGATACCCGGACCAGGTCACACAGCTCCCGCTGGATGCCAAATGTAAGGCGCTTCTGAAACTGGGAAAGTAGTAGTTCCATGTTGTGCCAACCCAGACGATTGGAAAATACTGTAATCATCCCTAGAACATTCACCAAATATTGTCGAATTAAAATTTTCTTATAGACTAATCCTCCATGTTTTAGGCATACTTTTTTGTTGCCTTTTTTTGTAGCATTTCAAGGTTTAACAGAGTCCAAAATTAATAGGGACAATAAAACATAATGCAAAAGTATAAATTATTAAAAACACATTAATGACCAAGTCACTTTCCTATGAGAACTTAAACCCTAAATGCAATCTTGGATCTTTGATACCAGTGGCTTGAACAGTGAGTCCCTCTCTTTCTGCCGCCTGCCCAGTCGTTCATTCAGCATATACTCATAAGCACAAACCTTAAAAAAACAAAAAAAACCCTACATATATACAATAGCTCAGGGTTTCCTTCCTAAGAGCCTGCAAAGATTCTCAAGTAAAATCAGACACCCAACTTCTGTTTGTCTAACTTAGGGGATATGGATTTCATACGTGAAGGCACAGCATTGACAGTGGAGAAACTAAATATTTAGAACAGTCAGATAGGAATCTAGAATTGCCTTTCACATGTTCTTCTCAACAATGTTTACTAGTTAATTTTCTAACAAAAGGTAAAGCATTAAAGAAGAAAAAACTAGGGGAAAAGAACAGAAGAGAGAGGAACTGTCAGCAGGAAGTTGTTGAAGAATGGTAAGGAAGTAAGGTTTAAATACTTGGCTTGTTGCCAGTTTTCTATAGGATACTGGGTCCAGATGATTCAGACTTTCAGATCTTGATAACAAAGACTATATAATATTATGGAAATTTTAGAGATGCTTCTAATAAAATGAATTAGAAAAAAAAATGACCTTAAAATCTTAAACCACAGATTCTTAAGTAAATGTGAAACACTTTGTTTAACTAACCTGCATAAACAGCAGCTGACTGTTGTAAAGACTGAATCTGTCCACGATTGCATCCATATTTCTGATTGATTTCCTTTAAGGAAACTTCATTGATTAAATCTAGTAGCACAAGACTGGTGAAAAACCTAAAAATAAATAACCAAATGTGAGGTAAGATATCATTTATATCAACTCTGAAAGTACAGTACATGTTGTAAAATAACTGAAATAAAACATGATAGAGTATTTACACACTTGGGGAGGTTCCTACCAGGACATAGGGTTGGTAGAAAGTGAGATCCAAGTTTACAATATGCATCAGCACACTAATGTTAGTACAAACAAATGTCCCCCCCCCATGTTTCAATACAGCTAATTTCAAGAAATAAGACTTGACTCAAAAGAATGTGATAGTGCAAAAATTTAAAAATACACATATTTCAATAAGATGACAGAATATAATTTAAAACCTGTTTTGATTTGAAAGGAAACAGTGATCCAATGATCCAACCATACAAATCCTTATAAAATATGCACTCAATTGTGTTACAAATAACGTAAGAAATATTACAATTATTTTTTACTGTTATTTCAAAGAAGCTAAAAGTCTGTATAATTTCCCCATTTGAATTTTTCACTCCTTCCTGCTGAGAACAGATTACTTCTAAAAATGCTACAAAACATAATCCCAAATGAAACCTCAGGAAGTTGGTGGTTCTGATTCATGTCTTCTATAAGAAAGGGAAATAGCTAGTGCCATGGCTCACGCCTGTAATCCTAACTACTCAGGAGGCTGAGATCTGAGGATCATGGTTCAAAACTAGCCTGGACAGGAATGTCCAAGAGACTCTTATCCACCAGAAAAATGGAAGTGGTACTGTGGCTCAAATGGTAGAGCGCTTGCCTTGAGCTAAAGAGTGGAGGCACTCAGGCCCAGAGTTTATGACCGACCAAAAAAAAAGAAGGAAAGAGAAATAATTAAATATTCTACTTTAAAAGATCTTTCTAGCCGGGCGCTGGTGGCTCACACCTGTAATCCTAGCTACTCAGGAGGCTGAGATCTGAGGATCGCGGTTCAAAGCCAGCCCGGGCAGGTGAGACTGTGAGACTCCTATCTCCAATAAACCACCAGAAAACCGGAAGTGGCGCTGTAGCTCAAGTGGTAAAGCGCGCGCTTTGAGCTGAAGAGCTGAGGGACAGCGCCCAGGCCCAGAGTTAAAGCCCCACGACTGACAAAAAAAATAAAAAATAAATAAAAGATCTTTCTGTGTAATTGCTGCTAAACTACAAGTTGTGGTAATACACAAAATATGAATAAAATTAGTGAATACTGACTATTTTCTTTACAGTGAAAATGACTACAAGACACTGGATATTTATTGTATGCCAGACACTGCATTCAATATTGGAAAGTCCAGGCTCCTTGATATTTACCGTTTATGAATGGCCATTTGTCGGTGTTGTCTCTCAGTTCTGGCTACTACTTTTCCTTTCACACTGCGAGCCAAGAACCCTTCCTCGACTCCTACTAGTTCTGCTACCCTTTTCATAGAAGCTGGCAACTTCTCCCATAAACAGAAAAACCTATACCAATCTATAGTAGTCCAATCTTCAAACATAGGTGTAACCTAAAGAGAAGAATTATCACTCATTAGCTACAATTATTTCATTTCACTGGGCTGGGATACAACTCAGTATATATACTATTTGCCTAGAAGTGTGAGGTCTTGTGTTCAAGTCTTAGCTCCACAAAATGATAAATACAGATATCATTGTAAAGGGCTTTTTTTGATGTCTGTAATACTTCATTTAAATAAAAATAGTATTTATTCACAAAAGTAATTGCCAGATCAAAAGAAAAAGAGACCATTACACCTGTAACTGAATTCCATAGACTCCAAGTCTTTATATATTTTAAAATTGTACAGAGGTTTCATTGTAGTATTACCATATATGCCTACAGTTCACTTACTTCTTCATTCTTCTTTCTCATTCCTACCTTTATAAGCAATCTTAACAGATATCATTATTGTATTTTTGAAACTCTAAAATCTTTCTTTATCAGAGAAATTTTCAACTTCAATATTGACTCTAGGTATAATCTTAAATATTTTGTGTAATAGCCAAGAAAGAATCCATAAAACAGAAGGAAGGAAAGAAGGAATCAATATTCAGAATGATATATTATTTAAAAGGTCTGAGAGTAAGATAAAAACAATGAGACAAGCTGGGCACCGGTGGCTCACGCCTATAATCCTAGCTACTCAGGAGGCTGAGATCATGGTTCAAAGCCAGTCCAATCAGGAAAGTCCATGAGACTCTTATCTCCAATTAACCACCAGAAAACCAGAACTGGAGCTGTGGCTCAGTGGTAGGGCACTAGCCTTGAGCTGAAGAGCTCAGGAACAGCACGCAGACCCAGAGTTCAAGCCCAACAACTGACAAAAAAAAAAAAAGAGAGATTTTGGAAGTATCTAGGATTACAGGCATAAAGCAAAGTACTCAGCTACTTTATTTCTTATCAAAATCTTTGCTTTATTAGTGGATGATGATCTAATTTAACCAAACTTTTAAAATCCCTTATTGGAAGTCAAGTGTAGCTGCATATATAAGTAATGTAGCACTCAGGAGTCTAAGGTAGAAAGATCACAACTTCAATGCCAGCCTGGCTATCTAATGAGATACTGTCTTAAAAAGAAAAACTGTAAGTTGAAGAAATTAGTGGAAAAAAAAGCAAACCCAGAACTTACCAGATAAACAATATGAAGATCATTCTCTAAAACAAAGCCTTTCATTGCTCTTTGGAGGTCAGCAAAAATATCTAAGGTATCAGTTGGAGAAAGTGAAGACGAAAGAGTAGCTGAACCAAGATGTGTTGGATGATAGACCTTTCCTGGTTTAAAAATGCATAGTTTAGGAACAAATGTCAAAATCAAGACAAATAAAATACTATTTCTCTATACTACATATTAACCCGCTCTGATATATTTTATAACCAGAATCTTATCCAATGTGTAGAAAATCATGAGCAAGATGAAAAAAGTGATTAAAAGATTAAAAACAGCAAATTGTCATAGATCTCATATTTACCTTCTGATCCGTCACTGGCTCCTGCAATCTGGATAAATTCGTTTTCTAGCAACCACAACACACAGGCTTCAATTGCTCCAAGATGAACAGAATCTTCATTTCTCTGAATTCCTTGCTTCCCTTCTTTCATACTCGCAGCCAAAAATGTACAAGAAGCATAAGTCTGCATATCTCGTGATGTACTTGCCACTCCGCCAACTATTATCTGATGGAAAATGTTTGAACATTTCTGTTTTGGTTTTTTTTTTTTTACAAAACATGCGGGATCTCATGATATAAAAGAAATGGCTTTATGCTTTTAAAATATTCTCAGACTCTTAATATCAAGACTCTTACTAACTTGCATTATCACTCATGGAAAAAGTAGACAACATGAGCTGATAACACGAAAAGCTTTCATTAAAAGGAGATATATTTCCTTGTAAACAAAAATAAATGGATCCATATCCATCTGAAACTTCAGAGTTAACAATGGTTATAGCCATGAACCAAATCAGTCCTTTTTCTGCATTTGGTGTTTAATCAGTTTTGAAGTGGATTGGTATAGTACTATGATAAAATTGGTGTTGAGTAAACTCCAGGAAATAACTATTATTTCATATATAATATAAAGAGTTATATGTAGTTATATGATAAGAAAACAGAGGGAACAAAAAAAGGGAAGGTAAGAAGAAGAGAAAAAGAGAGATGCTATAAGCTATGGAATCAGACGACTTGAGAAGGCTATAAATATGCAGCAATCCTCACATAAGACTTCACATACTGAAGTTCAACATAGGTATAAAAGAGCAAATGTAATTTACTGAAGTGTCTCTCACCTCCAGAATAGCCCGTACCATGCTGGCAGTTATTTCATCTCCTTCTCGTCTTTGCAAACAGCTACGAACTGGCTTTAGAGATCCCTGTAGTAGAGCTATACCTTTTGACTTCTCTGAGTTCTTACAGACTAAGATACTCTCACCTACAAACAAAAAACATTTTCAAAATCCAAACACATTGTTATAAGGTATAGGTTAAAGACAAGTTTTTTTGTCTTAGTTATTAAAAAGGAAGTAAGAAATACTAGTGATTTCACAGTCATAGAAATATATTTTAAGTTTTAATATTCTGAAGTTTGGATAGAAGGAAATCAGAATATACTACCAAAATTATGTTACATTGGCATTAGGAATATTTTGAACTGAAGGCTACTAGAAAGTGGCAAACACAGCAAGAACTCTTTGTCATCTCCCTGTTTGCCTAAAATCAAGGCATAGATTTTCCTTTGTGAGGATGTTTCTACTCCCTTCTCCCATAATAGCGAACAGCCTTCGTCACTGAGACAATATCGGCACAGAAGGTCTGTACAAACCAACTTACTAAAATAACCTTTTCTCTTCCATTGGCTCCCCCTACAGATTTACATGGTTTACAGATTTACATGGTTTACATGTTACTGTCCCTCTTCAAAATTTATTCACCTTTGTTAAAACAATATAGAAGATTCCAGCTTTAACAGCTTTGGAGTATACCTTCTTGTCTATGAAGGTTTCTATGCACAGAAAAATTACTATATCAACATCAAATAAAATTGGTATGGATTTTTTCCCTTGTTAATCTGTCTTTTACCATCTGATTTAGAAGGCCCAACTGTAAACCTAAGAAACTAGTGGAAAAGCCTTTTTCCTTTCCCTTTGGGATTAATCACTGTAATTAAATAAATAGGTAGGTAGTTAACAAAGGTACTTAAAAAATATAAAGTAAAATGCAAACATAAACTATTAACTACAGATAAAATAAATCTAAAAATATTTATAGGTACCTTTAAAGAATTGCATGTATTAATAACCTAAACAATTTAGCTTACTTCAAGAATCAAATGAAAAGCATGAAAGCACCTGTAAATGAAAAATGTATAAAAATATGCAATTTAAAGAAATCAGAACTGTTACAATTAAGACTAGGAAAAAAAATCATATTTTCTCAAAGAAACTGAATCTAATAATATAGAAAAGTAAATAGCATATTTGTATGGGGTGTTTATGTACTATAAAAATGAAAGTGGTGGGGCTGGGAAGGTGGCTCAGAGGTAGAGTGCTTGCCTTGCATGCCAAGGCCCTGGGTTCGATTCCTCAGCACCACATAAGCAAAAGAAAAAAGCCAGAAGTGGTGCCGTGGCTCAAGTGGTAGAGCGCTATCCTTGAGCTGAAGAGCTGAGGGACAGCGCCCAGGCCCAGAGTTCAGGCCCCACGACCGGACCCAAAAAAAATAAATAAAAAAAATAAAAGTGGTGCCAGGTACCAGTGGCTCAAGCCTAAGTACTCAGGAAGCTGAGGTGCTTCTCTCCTTGGAGATCTGAGGATCACTGTTCAAAGCTAGCCAGCGCAGGAAAGTCCGTGAGACTGTTTTCTCCAATTAATCACCAGAAAACGGGAAGTGGCACTGTGGCTCAAGTGGTAAAGTGCTAGCCTTGAGCTGAAGAGCTGAGGGACAGTACCCAGGTCCAGACAAAAAAAAAAAAGAAAAGAAAAAGATAATCTTAATACTACATTAGCAGAAAATAACTGCTTGTCAATAAATGAAAACTACAACTTATATTCACTACAGATATTAAGTGAATCACAAAGGATAACAGTATACTGAAAAATAAAGAAATACAGCATAATAGGATACAGGCTTTCATTTAAGGCAAATTTCAAGTTAAGTCAAATTCAAGTGGACTAATGTTCACTGTTGCAATTAAATTCAAACTCACCCAATGTGTCTACTCCTTTCCTGCCAGCACGACCAACCATCTGCTTGTAAGTAAGAATATCTAGAGGGCGACCACTGAAAATTGGAGTCCGAATAATCACACGACGTGCAGGTAAATTCACCCCGGAAGAAAGAGTAGAAGTTGCTGCCAAGACCCGAATGAGACCTTGACGGAAGGCTCCTTCAATGATATCCCTCTCCTCAAAAGTAAGACCTAAAAAAAATAGCAGATTTCAAAAACAGATTATTTATTAACATATAATTAAAATATAGTTAATCTCTTACAAATAGATCTGAGAATCTATCACAAGCCTCTAAAGATGTTTTTAATTGTTAGGACTATAAACTAAGAAGTCCCAGTCTACCTATGTACCTATGCTGCTGGTACCTACCATTGTTTCACACTTGTTTTCCTAGCTACTTGGGAGGCTGAGATAGGATTGCAGTTCAAGGGCAGCCCAGGAATACAACAGAGACCTCTTCTCAACCACTAGGTTGGCATGGTTGTGCATGCTTGTCATCCCAGCTGCATGAGGCTGAGATTGGAAGGATAGAAGTTCCAGTTACATCTAGACAGAAAAGTTTGAGATTCCCATTTCAAAGGAAAGAATCTGGATGTGGTGTCATGTGCCTGTTAGGCCCGCTATGACAAGAAGCCCAAACTAGGTGGATCATGCCACAGCCGAACAGGAAGTGAAACTCCCTCTCAAAAATAACCATCTATAAAAGGGCTCAGTGGTAAAGCAACTACTTAGCAATCATGAGGCCCTAAATTCAAATCCCAGTACTGCCAAAAAGAGAAATGGAAAAAAAGAGAGTACAACCTGCCATTTCTAATATATCTCATCTTCTAGGCTTAGAGTCAACAAATTAATCCTGTAATTTATGTTCATATTACTTAATGTGGAATAGATGGTCCCTATTTCAAATACTCAGCCTGTCTCTGTCACATGAATGCTACAAATGGGTATTATCATGTTCTAACAAAACAATTTACAAAATCAATATTTACAAAAACAGATGGTGAGCGAAACGACCAGCATATTACTGTTTGCTAAACCGTTCTTTGTGTTTGTAACTCACATGTATTTTTAATTTATTTTAAAATGTTATGACACATATCATAAAAAATTTATGCATAAATAACAATAAAATGTAAAATAAGTTGACAGGGTTAAATTCTTAATCTTAAAAGCAACATATTCATCACATCCTTAGTACCTATGATCAGGATAAGATCATTTCCTGAGAAGAAGTTCTTTTTATTTTATTTTATTTTTTATTGTGAAAATACCATACAGAAGGGTTACAATTACATGGGCAAGGTAATGAGTAAATTTCTTATCAAGCATGGTTGCCTCCTCAGAAAAAGTTCTTTAATTCAATGATTGTCATAGTGTTGACAAATTTTCATAATCTGTTTTATTTGACTTTTAAACACTTCTAGCTTTCTCCAATGTAATATGATAATTTTAAAATAAATTCAATTTTCATATATCTGTGAGAGTTTCAATTATCATTTAAGACAAAGAAGACATTTAGAGTGGATTATAACTAGAATAACAAGTACAACTCTACTTTTTTAGGAAAGTAAGTAAAGAAAGGGGAATTTTTTAAATCTATTTCCTCAATGACTCAAAAAGTCTTCACCTAGGGCTGGGAAGGTGGCTCAGTGGTAGAGCACTTGCCTTGCATGCCTGAGGCCCTGGGTTCGATTCCTCAGCACCACATAAGCAAAAAGAAAAAAGCC